AAAGGAGTTTGTTCAAGAAACAAAAAACAATGCTAAAATAGAAAGTTCATGAGAAGAAGGCAAAATCCATGGGATGTGGAGAAAAAAGGAGTACCTGGAATCTTTTATACTCCCTAAAATGTCTACAACTGTTAATATAGATATTATTAAAGAGAAAACAATTAAACTCTCGGGATAGGAGTGGATGAGATTGCAGCAACTCTTGGGGAAATGAAAGTTAAATTCACTGAATAGTATGAAGTAATATTCACTAAAATTGAAAAGCCTATGCCTGGTCCACATTATGGCCCTCGTAATTTGAAGAGGAGACATGACACCGTATAGAGTAAAAGCCTTTGGTGCAGCATTTGATTCGTCTCATTGTCAAAGAGGTAGAAGCAAGCATTAAGCAGCATTTGTTGCCCCACATTCACATTTTACATGTCTCGAAATTTCTTGTTCACAACACTTTTACCGAACCTGGTTAGCTAAAATGCCAGAAATCCATGCTAATGTCTGCTTGAAACCTTATCAGAACAACTCTTAACGGCATGACCTCGAAACCAGACACATGGCATGACATGCACCGACTGCAACAGAAAGCACAGTATAGGGTCCAAGACCATCATTCTCCATTAGAAAATTAACTTCAACAGGACTTAGTTGCACCTCTGGTAATCCAGGAACTCCAAGTTGACAATCTTTTGCATTTCCCCACATGTACAACTTCCCTTTATCTGTTTTAAAAATGAGAGACAGCTTTTAACTAGTTTTAATGTAGTTAACAGTAAGAAACTCAAACCAGAAAAATACACGTCAAATAAATGTGAATATGGTTAAGAAAACTTGAAAAATTTTTTAGTTAATATCATCAATTAAAGTGAAAGGAGCAGGATTACAAAAATTTCAAATAGCGCAAAATGTGAGGAATACTCAAGTCTAGAAGGTATTTATAACAAAAACAAATTCACCATAACACTCAATAAAGCACGCCACATGTCATATAATTCGTATTACCAGTTATAGCTGCTGAAGATGAACCACAACAAGCAATGTAGATAACGCGCTCGTCAGCTAATGCCTCAACAACTGCAGGTATTTTCTGATTCTGAATCGAAGCCAAACCCAACTGACCATGCCCTCCATGGCCCCATGAGAGCACCGTCCCTTCATCTAGAGTTACACATCAAGATAAAGTCAGACAAAGAGGAATGGAACCAGTATGTTGCTACTGCTGCTTTGCACTCATTTTACCAGTTAATGCAAGAGAATGATATCCTCCACTTGCAATCTGAACAATCCGAACATCCTCAAGACTTCGAATTGGCTTTGGTTCCCAACCTCCAATTTTATCACCTCTTCCAAGCTCATAGTTAGAGTTTGCTAGTAAAAATAGAAAGAACAAGCCGTCAAATAATGTTATTATAGCCTCATGGATTTGAGGGGAAGTGTAATCTTACCTCCCCAGTTCCAAAGTTGCCCTTCCTTTGTCAACACCATTGTGAAGAATCCACCGCATGATACAGCAACTACAGGAACAGGTAACGCTTTAACTTTTGAAGGGATACTAAGTCCACCTCCCTCATTGGGACCTCGACCAGGACCAAGACCTAATCTCCCATCACCTTCATCTCTACCCCAAGTATAAAGCTCTCCTGCATCCAACAAAAATATCCTGCTCTAGGTATCTAATATGAAAAAAAACTTCTTACAAATCTAATTTATTGGTCCTAGAATCTAGTTTGTCCAACCATTTCCAGTTGGACTTCATACAGAGTTATCAACAAGATTCCATAAAGGCTAACCCTAATTTATTGATCCGTCCTACTTTGTTAATCCTAACATAAGGATGAATTCCAATAGGCAATTTCACTAGTTTGCCAGCATGCAAACCAAAAAGAACATCATGAAAGTCAGAAAACCTGATTCTGTGATAGCTGCAGTATGTGTTCCACCAGTTGCAATATGACATATTTTTCCATCCCAAGAACCTTCCACCAATCTAGGGAACAGCTCTCTATGGTAAACAGAATGTCCAAGTGCACCAAAACCACCATAACCCCTGCAAGCTTCATTGGTAACAATAAAATAATCTGGTTATGCAGAAACAAAAAAATATAAAAAAAAACAGAAACAAAAACTCAAGAGACCTTCACCATAAAAAAAAAAAAACCCAACTGTGAAGTTCTCATCCAATGTGATTCTCTATTTGATGCTCAAGATTCAAAATTCTCCTTTTCACATAAAAGAAGAAAAAAAATTATCACAAGCTAGTGAGTGGACAAAGATTAAAGATAGATGGTTTTATCTCTTTGGTTTCATTTATCTTGGTCAGTGTATGTATAGAGAGGAGGATTTTGGGTATTTAATTGATAGACTAACTGAAATGTAAATAATTTTGTATATGGGTTGCACCCCCTTTTTTTTGGTGCTGATTTAATATATTTTGCATCTTGTTATTTAAAAAAAAATATTACAAGCTAGGTGGGAAAAAACAATAGGAAGATAAGCTATCCTCTGAAATGAAAACAAGAAAAGTAAATGCATTGTTGATATATGATCACAAGCTAATCTCTTGTCAAGAAGCTAAAGAAATCCCCTCAAAGAACCCATGGACTTTGGCCCAACAAGAAGGCAGAAACACCATTTTTTCCAAATGTCATCAACAGTCTCAGGCCTTGCCTTAGCTTAAAAGTTCTCACGTTTCTTTTTTAACAAAAAGAAAAGAAATGTATTGAGAGAAAGGAAACATCTCGTATTTTCTCTCCAACCAAAGGATCCATGACTGAGCAAATATAGCCCCTCTCAAAAGTGTCTTTTGATCCTCATGCCAGTAAGACCAAATAATGGAGACCACGACCATCAAGTTGGGCAGACATACCCAGGCAACATGAAAAGAACAAAATTAGTAGTCCAGGTCCCCCAGCCCATTCCACTAAGAAGCTAATAAGTGTCCAAAATTCTTTACAATGAGCTATATTATGTACCTTTTGGGCAGTAAATTAGAGAGCAAGTGCCCTAACTTTAAGCTTCATGAACATTTAGGCTTTTTTTTTTGTGTGCAAGCCACAGTGGATAAGAAACAACTCCATGGTTGATAAACAGAAACGATAAAAAAATTCAAGAAGAGAAGAAAAACAGGTAAAAGAATAATGACAATTATTATATAGTGATGATATTAATATGGCAGAGGGATACTGACCAAGTAAAGACCTCGCCATGGGTAGTGAGAGCAACAGAATGTACGCCACCAAGAGTGATACACTGAACAGAATGCTTCTCTAGATATGGGTTTAAGGTTGGTAAAAACGCTGGATTCTCATGGCCAAACCCAAGACGACCTCCATCACCTTTGCCCCACATCCAGAGATTTCCATCCACAGTCAATCCAGAGTGGAACAGCCCACAGGAGATACCCACACGAACTCTTCCCTTTGGTTCCTGGTCATTGGTATCATTCGTTTTGGTGGGCATCTCTCCAGTATCAGGATGACAATTCTGACCATGATTGAGGATGATTTGGCCTGTTGTTGTGGAAAGAGTGAAACTGTGACATGGGAGGAGAAGTTTAGCAATTGGTGATGGGTACATCTTGATCTCTTCTCTGCCACCACCAAGCTGACCTGATGCACCTTTGCCCCATGAGAGCACCTGAAGAATTTCAGCCTCTGCTTCATTTCCTTCATTGATTTCTAGACTTTTGTAGAGGAAGGGTACATTGCTTCTAGCATTGCTCGAAGAATATGAAAATGCAAAGGAAGAGATGCAACCGGATAAGTTTCTCATGCGTTGTCCACAGAGTGCCATCATTTCTATTTTTGGGAATTGACCTGATTCAGTGAATCAATTTAAAGTTAATGATAAACTAGAAAATTGGAGAAAAATGTAATTGAATTGCTCCACATTGAAGATTAATTAGCAAAAGCCATCAGCTATACTTTTGAAGGAATTTGGTATTTTATGGATTTGGTCCCGTTGTTGTGGATTGAGTGAAACCAAATCATTTGTTTTCATAGCTCACACGGCACATCATAAATATGCACCGGGAGGAGAATTTTGAAACAGTGAAACTTCTACCTTGCAGAAAGTGTCCTCTCCAGTTTTTACCTGTTTGTCTGTGTGATCACTGGTAACTAGTAAACTTCCTTGGTGTTATGTAAATGGCAACTATAGAAAAGGATAAAATTTTAACCAAAAACAAAAGAACAAAGAATAAATCTCATATAATCTTGTATAACATGTCACAACAGCAATGTCGTGAGTCAAAAAAATTTCAAATATAATTTTAATTTTAAGCAATTTGGGGTTAGAAAATTCACTGGTACGGTTTTAAAGATTTTTGGTTTGGCAACGACACAAGGTAGGAAGGTGTGAGGTACCTATTATGTGTCAATTTAATTTCCATGCATATTTATTAAAATATCATTTAAGATGAAAATGTGTGGAAACATCATTCGTTTATAATATAATACACTAATTAATATATCTACAAGACATGAGGGATGAGGAAATTGAAAAACGTGAAAAAAGTTAACTAAACAAAAGGGGCAAAAACATTTAAGTTTACATAGTCTTCCTTTGCCGCACTTGTGAACACACCTTTCCCAATTGGTGGAAAGAACGTATGTGATAATAAGCCATATTAAAATGCAAAATACAATATATTGATCTCCAAATGATGTTGTCCTCTTACCAACCCCAAATAAAGATAACTATTGCATTAACAATCCCTAACAGTCCAAAATATTAAATTAACATTATCATTAGAAGATCACCAAATTATTAAAGGGCATGATAATTTTATAGTGCAAATGAAAAGCAATTATAATGATCATCAAACAATGATCAATCTCTCAATCTGAGGGACAAATAAATAATGGAAAACAAAGTGAATATACATTGGATCAATTAAATCCTAATAACAACCCCTTTCCAATTTGAGCCAAAAGAGAAACAAAGATGTAAATGAGAATTTATGAATCCTTCACTAATTTAAACCTGCTTGTTCTATGATAAGAGAAGATAGTAACCAAACAACTATTATGACATTTACACTATTTCAAAAGTAACAGTCAAATTAGTATGGAAAATTTGAATATAGAGATGGAAGGGGAAAGCGAAATATACCCAAACAATGCAGATTTTCCTTTTCTCTGTCCCTCAGCTTTCTTCCCTTGCGATTTTACACAAAATTCACCTACTATAGAAAAATCTTTACTGTTTCTGAAAGTCTTCACGCTCAAAAATCTCAATTTTTTGCAATTTTTCCTCTCTCGCTCTCTCTTTTCTTTTCCAGCAAATCCTTCCTTCTCCCTCTGTTTTCCAACTCCATTCAAATCCAAAACAAAACCCTTTTAACTTTCCCACAGACCCGAACCCTTCTTCCCAGAATTTCTTCTTCTCACATCAGCTTTCCCCAAACCCGAGCCTCCTCCACTACGCCGCATCCTCTCTACAAATGCCTCTCCTTCTCTTGATTTTCGCTTCTCTTGCTTCTTGCTTCTTGCTTCCGCAAATCACGCACCAGACCTCCCCGTTACAACCAAACGACGAATATTTTTCGACTTTGTTCTCCTGATTCGCGGCTTTCTTCTTTGCGAGTAACTTCTGTATTAATCTTCATCAGCATGCAGCTCTCTTCATCTCACGCTTCGTCATTTTCGGCCCACTCTGTGTCGAAGCTTCTATTCTCCCTCTTCTTTTTTGTTAAATGCGAGCACAAGACAGCCGAAAGGGTTAAAATTAAACACTTAAGTAGAAGTTAAGTTGGGCTCCGGACATAATCAGATTCGTTTCAGATTTAAACTATGGTTGGATTCTAGAAAATGGGCCAGACTAAGTAAATTAATTTGGGTATATGGTCCTCTCAAGCCCCTTGCTTTCTTCAGCTCCAGCCGGCTAGAGCAATTACGTAGCTTTTCATCGTTGCTAAACCTACCGTTCAGCTGTTATGAACTACCATTCTTCCAATTGAAAATTGGATAGGTTCGATAATCGATACCCATTTCACTCCCGAGTCATGGACAGATCTTGTTCCTTCACCACTCGGAAGCTTGTACGGAAACTCGCGAATCCACCCATCCGACGCTCCCGATTCACTGCTCTTGACTCGGACCTCAACCTCACTTGCCGGACGGCATCACTACAATGCTCAAGGGCAAGCTCAAACTGCCTGACCGGCTCGGCAATTTAGTTGTCGATTTCGAGGACAGGGACGATAAAATCGGAGGTTCAAGTTCAGTACTTGCGTCCAGCGAGGAGCTCGAGATCATTCTGCCTAATGGACTCGGGTTCAGTCGACATAAGGATGACGGTGATGGGTTGTGCTGTACCGAGGAAAAGAAGACAAATGAAGCGGCAATATTTCGGGCGAGTGCGCGACCCTATAAAGACCGAGCGGGTTCAGTTTCGGCTATGGCCTTCATCGCGGCAGACGAGAAAAGGTCCGATTTTGAGTATCAGGTGAGATATAATATATACACATATTTATTTACTTATTTGAGAGAAGTATCAGGTGAGATATTGAAATTTGATTTTTTAAGAAATTCCAGAATGCCGCTTCTTTTTAGCAGTAAAACTTTCCTAATTACCGATTACCCCGTACTTACTGATTACCTTCGTTAGTGTTTTCCGCTAAAAGTAATGAAGGATTGTAGGATATGATAAAGAGATATCTTCTTTTCCTGCGTTTTTCTCATCACCTACCAAAGGAACCTTATTGCTTGATTGGATCAGCTGATTGCGTTCAACTTCTTATTCGGTTTATCTGTTTCTCATTTAATTTCTTGGTTAGCTTTCTCGAAAAGAGATTAATGTGGAGAAGTTACAAAGAATTGCTAGTACGGGATTTCCAGATGGAGGCGGCATGCGTGCTACAGCTTGGAAGGTAGCACCAAATCTGGAATCATCATGTTGTAGCACACAGACAAATCGCATAGATCTTATATTCTTTGTTCTTTTTTTGTTTTTGTTTTTGTTTTTTTCCTTCTGATTGTTTATTTATTTGTTTCTCATGCAGCAGTCAAAACTTTGTCTTTTCATAACCCGAAAATTGTACTATGTTTCTATTGACATCACAAAGAATCAGCGGTAATGAAATTTCATGATGAATTGTGTGAGATAGAATCGTCAGTTCTAGTCTACAAATAGTTTCACATACTTTTGATGATCCATGTTAAAAAACAAGGACTTCGATTATTTTATTATTATTTAAGATTTGGGAATAAGTATTTATTGTCTATTTATATTTGATGATGATAGTTGCTCTTGGGTTATTTACCTCCTTCACGTGATCTTTGGGAAAAAGAACTAACCAAAAATCGACAAAATTATGCTAAGCTAAAAGAGGAGCTACTCCTAAGTCCTGTAAGATGCTTATACCACTCGCTGTTTTCTTAGTGATCAAGTAGAGTGCTTGCTTTCAGACTGGCATCAACTAATCAAAATTTTGATCTACACAGTCAGAACTCAAAAAAAATACGGAGGAAGAATTAAGTTCCAGCAAGCAGAATGTTGATGGGGATTCTGATGGACTTCTCAGGCGACATGAAATTTCTTCAGAAGATCACCCCTTGAGCTTGGGTAAGGCTAGTGTTTGGAATCAATACTTCCAGGTAAAAACTTGGAAAATTGAGGCTCCATTTGGTTATGGAAAACATGGGTTTTCCTCTTTTTGTTTCCTTGAATAATGAAAACGTGATAGAAAATGCTTTTGGTTGTAGAAAACATAAAGTTGTTTTCAGGAAACAAAATTGGAGGTATTTAAAAATCTAAAAAATATGTGATTTTCAGATTTTGATGACATAATCCGAACTTCAAATTTCGGCTTCCACAAACAAAACAACTTTCTTTTAAAGCATTTATCCTGGTTGCCATAGCCTCTCTTCCTGTAGCAGTGGAACTTCCTTTTCTTATTTAATGTATGTATCTGAATCTCTGTCTATTTCCTCTCATGTATGTCTCTTCCTCTCTCTCTCTCTCTTCCTCTCTCTCTCTCTCTCTCTCTCTCTCTCTCTCTCTCTCTCTCTCTCTCTCTCTCTCTCTCTCTCTCTCTCTCTCTCTCTCTCTCTCTCTAGGTTCCAAACAAAAGGTATTGAATTTATTAATGGGGTGTTTTTTGGTCCTATACTAAATTAATGTTTTGCCTTTCATTGATGAAGCAATTTGATATTCAAATATTTGATGTTTTACATTTTCGTCATCTGCTACTGCTTTGAATATCTGCATTACAAGAAAAAAAATTTCATATAGAAGGTAGGATCAAAACCTGGGATTAAGGTGTCAAAATCGAAAAATCGTGACATATCCCGGAAAACTCCCATTGTTTTCCTAATTTCAGATGCTTCAATTTTGTTTTCTGAAAATAGTTTAATATTTTCTAAAACCAATCACATTTTCTATCAAATTTTCAATTTTCAAAGAATAGAAAAGATCCCGTGTTTTCTTTTTTTTTTTTTTTTGTGTGGCATTTTTAGGGCTAATGTATATCATAATGAATATGCGGACTTCTAGCATATGGACATTATAGAACAGATTGATCGTGATTTGAAACGCACACATCCTGAAATGGAGTTCTTCTCAGGAGACACATCCTTCAGTAGGAAAAACAGGGTATGCTACACTTGCCATTCTTTTGTTCAATTTAGTTGATGTTTGATTGTTGGAGCCTTCTGATTTTCAGCTGGTTAAGTTATGTAAATTTCCCAGGGAACGAAAGTAAAGAAGATTACTCACTGAATGTTTATTGTGTAATTTGGAACTGCAGGAAGCAATGAAGAACATTCTTCTCTTATTTGCAAAACTGAATCCTGCAATACGTTATGTTCAAGGAATGCATGAGGTTCTGGCACCAATATACTATGTGTTTTGTACTGATATTGACGAGAAGAATGTTGTAAGACTCCTACACGGTCTGTGATTATAGTTAGCTTTATTATGTTCACATAGTTTTCAGTTGGTATGCTGTTAATTAGCACCGTATTCGTTAGTCAGCTTTTTGCTAGGTGATCAGTTTTATCTTAATTTTTATGTCTTATATGTCTACAAATTGTCTTTGTTAAATGAGATCATCTGTGTAAAATTCAAGCTTCTGAGGTAACAGATTGTTGAGAATGCAGAAAGGATGGATGCGGGGCTATTACTTATTGATTTATTATATTATGCAGGCAAATGCTGAGGCCGATAGTTTTTCTTGCTTTGTTAAGCTATTGAGTGACTCTGTCGATCATTTTTGTCAACAATTGGATAATAGTTCGGGGGGGATTCTTTCTACTCTTTCACGTATGTCAGAGTTATTGAAGGCAAATGATGAAGAATTATGGCGGCATCTTGAACTCACATCCAGAGTAAACTAACTCAAATGAAAATAAGAATCTTTCTGTGCGCTTATCGATTGTTTTTGTTGCAAACTAACAACAGTACATTGTGTCTGATTATATTTTAGAGTAATGAAGGAACTTATACTTGGTTTCGTAAATGGGCAGGTGAAGGCACAGTATTATGCGTTTAGGTGGATTACATTATTTCTCACCCAAGAATTCAATTTGCAAAGTGTTTTAAGAATTTGGGATTCTCTTCTAAGTAATCCTTTTGGCATTCAGGTTTCTTCTTGCTATACTGTCCAGTTGAATTTTCTATTTGCTTATTTGTTTCTTTTCCTTTCATACCTTATCTAAGCACCTCCCTTTCATGCCTTCTTTGAAGTCAGTGTATATAGCACCTTATTTAGTTGCATCCTTCGGATGCAGGAGATGCTTCTTCGCGTCTGTTGTGCAATGCTGCTGTGCATGAGAAGCAAGCTTTTGAGTGGAGATTTTGCAGCTAACTTGAAGCTTTTGCAGAACTACCCTGATGTCAACATAGAACAACTTCTCCATGTTGCCAATGATCTCAGCCCTGATGTATCTTCTTATTGCCCGCCCCTGTAAAACATTCCACTTATTATATGAGCTTTGTTGGTTAACATATATATTCCAACATGATTTGTACTGATTTTAATGCTATAGTTAGAAAGATGTCATGTTGAGGGATATGTATGTATGTATTTGTCGTATTAATATAATATTACTTAAAATAATTATAATGTGATTAGATATCCGAGTGAACTGCAATATTGTGTAATAGTTGAAACATTTATCTAACAATACAATAGATTCAAAATTTAAATTTAAATAGCTAAAACATATAAACAAAAGATGTTTTTTTCGCCCTATTGCATGAATATATATGTGTGTGTATATATATATATATATTGACAATGTATTGCATGAGGATCTGGAACTGATATAATTTAAGCTAATCAGGCCCCTGGTTAGCCACGAATTATATTCTTTAATGATTTTTTTTTTTTTGTCTAATTGTTCTGAAATTTTACAAAATACAATGGAAATCTCTACTTTAACACCATAATATAACTTATAATTAATTCCAATACAATTATTACATTGTTTCCTATAATTTCTTAAAATGATAACACGCATAAAATTGAATATATAAATTATTTAATTAATTGTTTATATCAATATTAAATTAATTACTTAAATACGTTATTATCTCACTCAATGTATCGATATTGACATGGGGGCTAAAATGAGAGCATTGATCTTTAATTTTTTTTTTTTTTTTTTTTTATTTGGTTCGATCAAATAAAATTTATACTTTATTTTCAACATTAATTAATTAAATTAAACCGGCTCGTGGGAAAGTGAAGTTGCGGGAGCCAAACCTGCAGGGCGGCGAGAATGGAGATGGAACAACTGCTAAGCATGGGGTTCCCAAGCGAACTGGCGGCAAAAGCCCTGACTGCCACCGGCGGTAATTCCACCCTCGAAGCGGCCGACTGGATTCTCTCCCGCCCCAAATCACCATCCACATCATCTGACATTCATGCCACCACCACCACCACCGACGGCGACTCATTCCCTTTCCAGCCAAAACTTGATCGATTCTTCCTCCCGCAATCGAAACCCTCGATTTCCAGTTCATTTGCTGCTGATAATCAAGACGCTGATGCTACACCATCCTATAAACGTCCCAAGTTGGAGCCAATAGATAACAAAAGCTCTGGACCCTTGTCGGAGCGAATGCGCCCTGTGACCATCTACGACGTCGTTGGACAGGATCACCTTCTCTCCCCCAATTCTCTTCTCCGCTCTGCAATTGATTGCAACCGCTTCCCTTCCCTAGTCTTCTGGGGTCCCCCTGGCACAGGTAAGACCTCTATCGCAAGATCTATTCTCCATTCCTCTAAACACCCGTTTCTCTATCGATTCGTTTCCTTGTCTGCGATTACTTCCGGCGTCAAGGATGTTAGAGATGCTGTGGAAGATGCTAGAAAATTAAGACTTAAAACCAACAAGGTCACCGTGTTGTTCGTCGATGAGGTTCATCGCTTTAGCAAATCGCAGCAAGATTCTTTCTTGCCAGTAATTGACGATTGCAGCATTATATTCATGGGTGCCACCACGGAGAACCCTTCGTTCCATTTGATAACTCCCTTGTTATCTAGGTGTCGTGTTCTCGTGCTTAATCCTTTGAAACCCCATCACGTTGAGTCTCTATTGAAGCGTGCTATTAACGACTTGGACAAGGGATTGATAAAGAGTGTAGGGATGAGGGTTGATGTCAATGAAGATGCCATTCAATTTTTGGCTGCCAACTGTGATGGCGATGCACGAATTGCATTGAATGCATTGGAAGTTTCTGCTACCACAGCAGCGTCCAGAGTACTTGGCAATCATGGTAGTTTGAATTTGGAGAATGAGGGAAATGGGTCTGCTTCACTAGTGGCAACTGCTACTCTGGATGATGCCAAGGAGGCCCTTCAGTGTAAGCATCTATCCTATGACAAAGCTGGAGAAGAACATTACAATTTGATCAGTGCTCTTCACAAGTCTATGAGAGGAAGTGATGCTGATGCAGCTATATATTGGCTGGTTAGAATGTTAGAAGGTGGCGAGCAGCCTCTTTACATAGCGAGGCGACTGATAAGATTTGCTAGTGAGGATGTTGGCCTGGCTGACCCTTTAGCTCTGAACCAGGCTGTTGCTTGTTTCCAAGCTTGCCATTTCTTGGGCATGCCTGAATGCAACGTGATTCTTGCTCAATGTGTGGCCTATTTGGCTTTGGCTCCTAAATCTGTCTCTGTGTATCGAGCCATTGAAGCTGCACAGAAGGTGGTCAGGGAATCTGTTGGACAGAATGAAGGGGTACCGCTCCATCTGAGAAATGCTTCAACCAAGCTAATGCAGGATCTTGGATATGGGAAAGGCTATATTTACCCACCTGATAATCCTTCATCGCAGAGCTATCTGCCACCCTCACTTCAAGGGTATAAATTCCTCGATTGGCCATGTTTTAATCCTCACCACCATCAAGAAGCTAGTTAGTTACCCTTGGAAATTTTTGGTAAAAATCCGCTAGTTAACACCTTATAAACCCAGGCCTTTTTTGTTACATGCTATTTTGTAATTGGTTATCGGAAGAAAGCTTCTTTGTTTTTTTTTTTTTCCAAAGAAGGAAATAGATTTAGCAACTTGGTATATATCTGAGCCTGTCTTTCTTTAGGAAATTTCATCTGCAATTTGTGAAAAAACATTATGCATTTAGGTTATAAATTAAATCAAAATGCTAAGAACTGGTTAAACTAGAATAATTGTAATTATCTTCTTCTTCAACACTAATTGTTTAAGATAATTATGAAGTTTTAAGGAATTATTATGCTGATTCAGTTAAAAAAATTTTCAAAACCGATTGGACTGACAAAATCCTCATAATCAAGCTGAAAAGTTTTAGTTTCAAATTAATTTCTCTTTCTTACACCTTATACAATTAAATTTATATATTAATAACAGTATAACATTAAATACATTTTTATATTTTTTATAATTTTATCATATATATATATGTTAATTTAATATATATATGCATACACATAGATGTACATGCATATATAATTATATTAGATATATCAACTATATGTCCAGCCTAGAGCCACTTGAAAATGGACAAAATAATTTTTGCTGCAAGTTTTTTAAGACATTATTATTATCTACTGTATGATAAGATGATGGAGAATGAACACAATAATAAATACTGTATAGAGGTTCAGTTTTTTAAGATATTATCTCTAAGATTGAAAGATAGGGATTACAGAATCTAAATAAAATAATTCATCTCTACTTCTTTTTGCGCACCTGTAAAAATGGTCCCTGCAACATGGCCTCTACTTCTCCAACTCAATCCCACTCTTTTTGCTGTCGGTAATCTGCACATGCTGAACAAGTAAAGACACAAACAAATCCTCTCTCCTTCCCTCTACCAATCTCGTTGTTTTCTACTAATGCAATCTTCACTTGGGAAAAAATCGAACACAGTTTCATGTGCTTATGTGGCTTTGAAATTGACCGTGAACCAAATATCGAAGAGCCTCTTTGGAAGCCCGACAGGCAGAATCAAGCGAACTTATTTGCATTAGACTTTAATCAAATTGTTAACTGAACTTCTCTTTTGGGTCTTTAAGGTGCTTACAGTGGTAGGATCGCGCTTTTGACCTCAATGGAGCCAATCTTCGCTATTACATTTGTTATAAACATGAAACATCATATGGGAGAGTGTTAGAGATCTGTTTTTTAAGAGGGTGTTAATCCAGAAGGTACAATTAACTACACCTTTGAATGAAAAATTTAAATGTTTTCTTTGTTTTCTTTATTCGTTGCTGTTGTTGCTTCGTAAAATTTGTCGTTGTCGCTTTTTGATTCAAAATTATTTGGGGTAGACATCAAGAGAGTAGTTAAACAAATCATCAAAAGTAAGTTTTCTTATAACTTAACTTTTCCAAACCTTTAATTTGTTGTTAATGAGAGTTTAAATATGTTAGGAAATATCATAATAA